CTGATTTTCATACAACATTTAATTCACTTCTTTCACGTATATGATCTCCATCACTGCTATTTGACATGTTTTAAAAATGGAACCCTTACGAGTTAAAAGTATTGTAGCCCTTTCCGGTTAAAAGTTTTTGTAACACTATGCAGAGTTAAAATAAGCCCTTTGCAGGGTTAAAAATAAGTTTTGATTTTAAAGATGTAGCAACAAGAGTGTTGAAAATATGGTTGAAAATTCATGTCCACATGTAGTATTTTTTTGGGAATAAAAAATCTTCAGTATCGTCAAATTGGGTTGTTTGATCTTAATCGACCTTGAACCTATCTTTAACCTTGCTCGTAACCATTGGATATGATACCACTTGTTGGAATCGAAAATAATAAGGCATCATGCGGAAGCTAATAGTTACAAATCTTGGACGTCGATAAATTAGACACAAGAAAAAATATACTAAAATATGCATAAAAATACGGTTTGGCCAATTGGCCTACATAATAAAAAGAAAGATAAGATCATACTGAGAGAAAATTCTTCCCTAAACAAAACTAATGACTACATTGTAAATATTTTTCTAGTTGTGAGAATGATTTTTTCAATTTATAGATGTGCAAAACTTTTTCCCCAAGACAAGGAATAACCAAATATGGAATAGAATTATATTTTATCTTTTTAGGAAAAGTAAATGCAGTTATGGTAATACTTTGACTTTTCTTTAAGAGAAAATTAACTCAAATATGGTAAGAAAATCAGGGCAAAAACCCTAACAGAACAATATTTGTAGAATTACGCCTCTATAACAGCCATATAAAATTTCTTGCGAATTAAAAGTATTGTAGCCCTTTCAGGTTAAAAGTTTTAATAGCACTTTGCACAGTTAAAAATAAGCCCTTTACAGGGTTTAAAGTGAGCATGTTGCATGGTTAAAAATAAGCCCTTTGCAGGGTTAAAAATAAGTTTTGATTTCAAAGATGTAGCAGCAGGATTTTGAAAATATGGTTGAAAATTCATCTCTACATGTAGTATTTCATTTTTTGCTGAGAATAAAAAATCTTTAGTATCATCAAATTGGGTTTGCCTTGAACCTATATTAAACCTTGCTTTGAACCATTGGCTTTGATATTACTTGTTGGGATCGAAAATAATAGGGCGTCATGCGGAAGCTGATAGATGCAAACCTTGGACGACGATAAATCAGACACAAAGAAAATATACTAATATGCATAAAAATATGATTTGGCCAATTGAACTACATATGAAAAGAAAACTAAGATCATACTAAGAGAAAATCCCCCCCTAAACAAAACTCTCTAACCGACTATATTGTGAATATTTTTCTATGTTCTAGTTGTGGGAAGGATGTCTTCAATTTAATGTCCAAATTTTTTTTCCCGGAATAACCAAATATGAAAGAGAATTATATTTTTCTTTTAGGAAAAGTAGAAGCAATTATGGTAATACTTTAACTTCCCTTTAAGAGAAAAGTAACTCAAATATAGTAAGAAAATCATGGCAAAATCCTAATAGAACGCTCTTTGTAAAATTACCCCTCCATAATAGTCATATAGAATCTTTAAGATTAGTAATAATAATTCTAAAAGTATACACATAATCTTTTCCAACAACAACAACAACAACACAATAACACAGTAGAATCCCACTAGTGGGATATGGGGAAGGTAGAGTGTACGCAGACCTTACCCCTACCCCGGAGGGGTTAATAGGCTTTTTCCGGGAGACCTTGGCTCAGGGACAAAAGATCTGTAGCAACAACATAAATCAGAAAAATAATATCAGCAACGTGAGAGAAACCAATAAATAAAAGGGCAGTAACACAAATAGTACGCAAAAGTGTGTAAGACAACATAAACCGCTAGCAATCCTAGATAAAACACTAGCAGACTAGCTGGTACAAAAAGGGAAAAAACTCGACTATCCCCCTAACCTACAACCCTAATGCTCGACCTCCACACCTTCTTATCAAGAGCCATGTCCTCGAAAATCTGGAGTCGCGCCATGTCCTGCCTGATCACCTCGCCCCAATACTTCTTAGGCCACCCCTACCTCTTCTTGCATTTGCCAAAGCCAACCGCTCACATCTCCTAACCGGGGCATCTAGGCTTCTCCTCCATACGTGCCCGAACCATTTAAGTCTCGCTTCCCGCATCTTGTAGTCCACCGGAGCCACGCCTACCCTCTCCCGAATATCTTCATTCCTAATCTTATACATCCTAGTGTGCCTGCGCATCCATCTCAACATCCTTATTTCTGCTACTTTCATCTTCTGGATATGTGAATTTTTGACTGGCCAACACTTAGTCCCATACAGCATGGCCGGTCTCACTACCGCTCTATAGAACTCCCCTTTAAGTTTTAGTGGCATATTCTTGTCATACATGACTCCAGACGCTAACCTCCATTTCATCCACCCCACCCCAATAATGTACTTAACATCCCTGTCGATCTTCCCATCTCCCTGGATAATTGACCCTAGGTACTTGAAACTTTCTCTCTTGGGGATGACTTGTGAGTCAAGCCTCACTTCCATGTCTGCTTCCCCAGTCACGTCGATGAACTTACACTCCAAGTCCAAGTACTCCATCTTAGTCCTACTCAACTTAAAACCTTTAGACTTTAGGGCCTGCCTCCATACCTCCAGTCTCTCATTAACGCCGTCTCGCGTCCAGTGGCGTACGCAGAATTTTTTGTTAGCGGTGTCACCATTTTAAACCGTGAACAACTAAGAAAATCTATTGAAAAAGAACACAATTTGAATCATATTAATAAAACACAACTCAAGTATATTACTGCAACTTTTCTTAGCCCACTTCAAGGTTTTGTTAACAACTAAATGTTCGATTGTTTAAGCCCAACCGGTGTTTTATTTTTTTGTAGATTAAGCACAAAAATTGATGCCAGTTTCCCGGTGTTTCATTTTTGTAGAGTAAACACAAAAATTTTAAAACAAAAATTGATGGTGTGCAGCTTCGTACTCGCGACCTCATCTACTAAGCTCGAGCACTTTACCGCACGACCTCCTTAGCTCTTTGTGTGAAGTGGTGTCACTTTATTTATTTTATTCTACTTTTTATTTCGACATTTCAATCACATATAAATATTTAGTAAAATTTTCTGACGAAGCAGTGTCACGTGCCACCGCTTCGCCTAAGGTAGATCCGCCCCTCCTCGTGTCTGATCAATCAGAACTATATCACCCGCTTATGTATCTTGCTAATGCTACAAGGCCTAACGGTGTAAATTCTGTTAATTTACTAGAAAGATATAACTCTTCTCCTACACGAAGATATTGGAACAAGATTAAGCATCTATTGCGATATTTAAAGGGAACTTTTGATATGAGTTTGTTTTACGCTAACAAAGGTAGTGCAGATCGTGTTGGTTATGCAGGTGCAAGTTATTTATTTGATCTCCATAAATCTCGATCTTAAACCGGCTACGTGTTTACATGTGGAGGCACTGCTGTCATGGCCCTCCACAAAGCAATGTATTATTGCTACTTCTTCAAATCATGCTGAGATAATAGCTATTCATGAAGCAAGTAGGGAATGCGTATGGTTGAGATTAGTGATTCATTTCATTCGAGAAAAATATGGTTTGGAATGTGATAAAAGACCCACAATTTTATACGAAGACAATGCTGCATGCATAACCCAATTGGAGGGAAGATTTATAAAAGGAGAAAGAACGAAGCACTATTCACTAAAATTATTCTACACACACGATCTTCAGAAAAATGGTGAGCAACAAATCCGTTCAAGTAAAAATCAGGCAGATTTGTTCACCAAGTCTTTGCCTACTGCAACCTTCGAGAAGATGATATACAAGATTAGATTGTGGAGACTTGCGTATTTGAAAAAATTAGTGGGAGTAAAATATGCATTGTACTCTTTATCCCTTGCTAAAATTTTTTTCAATTGGGTTTTCCTGACAAGGTTTTTAATAAGGCAGCTTGCAATGTATATTATTAGTAAGTGTACTCTTTTTCCTCGACTATAATTTTTTCCTATTAATTTTTATCTAGTAAGATTTTAACGAGACACGTTATCTTTTAATGAACATCCAAGGGGGAGTGTTATAAATATATTATATTGTTGTCCATTTAGTACTCCTCTGTAAATAAGCTTCGTGAAGAAACTTATCCATATTGGACTCCACCCTAGATATGTTTATCTAGTTAGTACTCCATTGAAAATAAGCCTCCTAAAGAAGCTTACCATTTTGGTTTTCCGTTGTGGACAAATATTAACCTATATAGAAAATTATCTATAGCTTACATAACAACTTACACAACAACTTCCTTTTTTTTTATATATACAAAGAGGATAAATTCAGTTCGTTATAGATGAGTTTGCATCTACTCTCTCATCCCTCGGGTAGGGTAAGGTCTGCGTACACACTGTCCTCCCCAGACCCCACTAGTGTAATTTTAGTTGGTCCTTGTTGTATATATGAGTTTGAGGTTGCATGACGTATCAATCTCTATATATACTTGTCTTTAGTTTATTTATTTTATACTCTTTATTTTATAACAAACAATTGTTGCATTTTCAAATTTAAATTTATTTTCAGTTTTTACAAAAAATTAAAAAATTGTCAAACCCACTCATCTACTGTAGATCAAAACCACACTCGTCATCTATTACGTGTTTCTCTTCCCCTCTTCCATTCTATACATTTTCTCTAATCTGTATCGAGAGGTACGTTCTTGGATCTTTTCTTTTTTGTTTTTAAGCACCTTTTTCTCTTCCCAAATTGGTTAAGCTTCTTGGGTTTTTGTTATGGTGAATGATAAATTTCATCGGTATATGAATTAGTGAGATTTAAAGAACTTGTATTTTTATAGACCCCATATTTGGCGATGTTGCAAAATCTTTGTTTTTCGCAGTTGATTACGAAAAGGGTATCATAATACCAATCTCTTAGTTGAGGATTTAACAACTCCAGAACAATTGTCAATGTGCGTGAAGAACAAATGCAAGCTGTAGGACTACTTTTGTATATATTTAATTCAAATTATCTGAATCTTACCTCTTCAAAATTGTTTTTCTTGAGCAGTGGTGGAGGCAGCATTGTCGTTAAGGGGGTTTAAAAAAGAAAAGAAATTAAAAGAAATTGTAGCTAGCGGGAACTTAACCAATTACCTCACAAAGGTTTTGAACCCCTTGACCACTAAGCTATGCTTTTGGGCTATGTTAAGGGGATTCAAAACATAATATATAGAGGTAAAAGACAGATTTTGCCTTATATACCGTGTAATTTTTCTTGAACCTCTTCCGCCCTCCTAAAATCGCCCATGTTGTTGAGCCGAAGGTCTTTCAGAAAAAGTGTAGAGGTAAGGTCTGCGTACACTTTACCCTCACCAGACCGTACTATGTGCGATTACTCTGGGTATGTTGTTGTAAAATGTCTGAATCTGCAATGTGTATTTACAAGGGTTCACGGACGATTCGAGCTTGGTTAAATCTTTCTATTGGAATATGTAAAACCCAAGATAGTGACTTATTGTAGTGAAGGGGACCTCAAAGCTACCTGTAGTTTACGAAAATTTCCTTAGAATAGGTAATAAGGTAATCTGCTAGGGCTGTTATTTGCGTTGAGCTTACTTCAAATTTGATTTCATCCGTCAAGCTATATTATTAGGATTCATGATGAATTGGCTAGTTTTACACTTGTTGTCAGCTTGTTGCAACCCCTCCTCCCTTATCCAGGCTTGAGACGGGCAATGTGAGTAAGGTCACACTGACTGACGGAGTTCTACACATAGTGTGTGCATGTAGGCTTATGTATGTATCACGTTCTTCTTTGATTCCCCACCCGATATAGTGAAACCCTACAAAATATGATCCACACATATTCTTATCCTTGAAGGTATTGCATATATGAGTTAGGAATTTAACTCCTCATCCTACCTTTGGGGATACACTTTCTATACAAGCTATCGGCAAGTATGTCTGCAGGATAGTTATTGCTTTTGAAGCTCGTTCGCCAAGATGCGTTGTACTTCTCTCCTAGTTGAGGCATTGTTTGTGACACAATTACGCGTGCTTATATGTGTGGCTGTGTATCCCAAGAGTATATTTCAAGACTTCACAAAATGTAGGATCCCTTTTCCTTATCCAAATAGTCAAGGGGCAAGATGAAGTTAAACACGCACATCAGTATTGTAAATATTCTTTATCCTCACTAAGATGTGCATGGTATTATTTTGACATAATAGCTCCTGATGCTTTTGTTGATAGCTATCCCTTGGTATGCATGGAGGACAATTAGGTAGCTTTCCTTAACAGCTTTTAAGCTCGATTACTTTTGTACTATCTTGGATCTTTTGAGGTAGGTTGGTATAATCTATCAATCTTATGGGTTTTCCAATTACATTTGGTAGTGCTGCAGAATTTTGAGATGATGCATTCATATTGAAGTGGATATATGTACGCATGATGCATCTTAAAATTATATTGACAAGCTTACAATTTACCTTTGTTAATTTCTTAAAGCTTCAAAACATTTTAATATAAACAAGAGAGAAGATATCTCATGTGTGGTATGCTTAGTGCTGTAACTGATGTATAATGTCAACTGATATGCGATTTTTCTTATTCTTTTGCAGTGGTGGTTTGTGTGGCTAACCTCTCAAGTTAACGTCCTCCAATCATTTCGCTTTTTGGTATTGGTTCCAAATACAGGTAAAAGGTATAGATAAAACCAACCATAGCGTCTGTTGAAATTTTACTCAGGTTGACGAGTAACTACCTTCCTACTTCTTGGGTACCTTATCATTCAAAAACCAGACTTTTTTGCCATAAGTCAGGAAATCTCATAGGTGGACTTGCTCTTCTAGCTATGTCTTTTAACTAGCCTCTCTTTTAATAAAATCGTTGTAAAGTTTCGAGCTTCAACCCTTCACTGGAGTGTTAACCTGGTAGAAATGGATATTCCATCAGATGACTTCTCTCCGTCCATCATGCAGCTTCCAGACGATTGTTTACTCTCTATTTTTCAACACCTTGACTGCGGATGTGACCGTGAGTCATTTGGCTTAACATGTCGTCGTTGGCTTCAAATTCAAAATCTAAATAGAAGATCTTTACAGTTCCAATGCGCTTTTACTATGCTTAGTATTTCCTCATTATCCCAAAATAACTCCCAAATCAGTATATTCCAGTTATCTAGGCTTCTGAACCGTTTCCAGCAGCTAGAATCATTGTCCCTGTCCGGATGCACCGAGCTTCCAGATTCGGGTTTGGCTTTGTTGCCACGTCATGGCTCGAAATTGCAACGTCTTCATCTTGACTGTTGTTTTAGGATAACTGATTATGGTCTTTCCTTCGTGGCATCTGGCTGTTCTTCGTTGGTAATACTAAGTCTTTACCGGTGTAATGTTACAGATTACGGGTTAGAGGCCTTATCTAATTCTTGCGTAGCTTTAGAAGATCTGAATTTGTCATATTGCCCTCGAATCTCTGATTATGGCATAAGAACTATTTCACAAAACTGCCGTCATCTTAGAGCTGTCAGGATATCCTATTGTAGAAACCTAACCGGTGCTGGCTTTCAACGATGTTCTCAGACTCTGACTTATTTGGAAGCCGATTCATGTAGGCTCGAGCCTAATGGAATACGGAGTATCCTAAGTGGAGGTGGACTTGAATATTTGAGTGTGTGTAACTTGACCTGGTGTATTCATGTCGATGGTTTAGTAGCTATTAGCGTCGGATTTGCTGCAAAGTTGAAAGTGTTAAATTTCCGGTTCAGCAGAACGATTGGCGATAACTGTATCATGGCTATAGCAAAGGGTTGTCCGTTGCTTCAGGAATGGAACTTAGCATTATGCCATGGGGTCATGATAGGAGGGTGGGAATCTATTGCATCACATTGTCATAACTTGAAGACGCTACACGTTAATCGGTGCAGAAATCTCTGTGACCGCGGATTGCAAGCGTTGAGAACCGGCTGCAAATGTCTCTCCATCCTTTACATTACCAGATGTTCTCAGATCAGTGCTGTAGCATTGGAGAATTTTAAACTTACCAGAGGAAATGTAGAGGTCAAAGAAGAAGAAATAATGTGTATTTGCCCACAAGGAGCCTTTCGGTTTTAAATAGGTGGCAACAATCTTCAAGATTCTTGTGTATAATTTCTTATGTTCTTTGTGTGTGCCTCATAAGCAAAAGATGATTTGATTAATCATGTATACAATTACAATAAATATTGCTCTACAAATTGCAGAAATATTGTTCATTCCCCATGCTCTAAGGGTATGGATTCATACTTTATATTCAACGCAGAACAGTTGTTTGTTGCTATATACTAAAATTTAGACGCTGTGAGTTCTGAGTTGAGAGATTGGGTGCTGAAAAGTATATATAGTCAAACCTCTCTATAACAGCCTCGTTTGTTCCGAATATTTTTTGGATGTTATAGCGAAGTGCTATTATATAAAAATGCTGTTATAGAAGAGGTCTGACTGTACATAACTCTATCAACCTTTGTTCCCTAGGCTAAATGTGTTCGGCCATGTCACTTGTATACTGTGACTGAACGACTTAGGTTCTATACCACCAAAAAAAAAAAAAAAACAAAGAAAAGCATGATGCTTGATGTTCTGTTAAGTGCATGGAAAATATCCTTAAAAGCTCTTTTCTCATTGGCCAAATACATAGAGAGCCCATTAAACTTGGCCCAATTTTTCATTTTGGCACTCTAACTAACTCTTGTTCCATTTTGGTCCTCCAACCCCAATTTTTGTGTTCCACTTTAACACAAAAGCTGACTAGATTTAGTGTGTGATTTGCCTCACCCTTTAGGCGCGTGAGGGATATTTTTTCAGCCAAATTTCATACTCTCAACCTAGAGGCGGATCTAGAATTTAAATCCTATGGATTCAATTTTAATATTTTTAACATTGAATCCATTATATTTTTAAAGTTATGGGTTTATATCTATTTTTTTTTTATAATTTTAATAAAGTTTTACATACAAATTTTTACTCCGCGTCGAAAGTTATGGGTTCAGTTGAACCCGTAGTTATTACTGAAAANNGGGGGGGGGATGGGATCGGGGTTGCAGCTGGATATTTTTCCGTGCTGCATTTTTACCTGGGATAAAAGTTTTTGTGTCAAAGTGGAACAAAAGAATCCATTATACTTTTAAATGTTATGGGTTTATATCTATTTTTTTTTATAAGTTTAATAAATTTTTACATACGAATTTTTACTCCGCGTCGAAAGTTATGGGTTTAGTTGAACCCATAGTTATTACTGAAAATATATAAAAAAATATTTTTTCCCAGGGATGTGGGCAAAAAAAACGAAAAAAAATAATAATTTGAAATTACAAATTTTTTTTTTTTTCGTTGCGCGGAGGGTGGGGGTGGGGGTGGGGGGGACAGTGGGGTGAGGGTAGCAGCTGAAATGCACGCGCTGCATTTTTACCTGGGAGTAAAAATTTTGTGTCAAAATGGAACACAAAAATTGGGGTTGGAGGGCCAAAATGGAACAAGAGTTAGTTAGAGTGCCAAAATAAAAAATTGGGCCAAGTTTAATTGCCAAAATGAAAAATTGGGCCAAGTTTAATGGTCTCTATATGTATTTATTTCATTCTTTTTCAATGGAAGTATGAAAGAAATTACTATGCATTATCAACAAGTTACAAGAATCAAGAGTGACCTTGTAAGTATGCAAAATACATTTTGAATGCCTTAAATATGTGAACAAATATTGTTAAGAGCATGTATAACAAAGAAGACAGACATTAAGTCATTGAAGACTTTGCAATTGGTGGATTTACACAAATCTTGCTCAATGAAAGCATTTATCACCAATCAATAGAAATAACACCATATCTATAAAACTATCGGTTCATCCCAAAACTTAGGGTGCACATTGATCAATAGCCTACAATCCCTCACAATTTGGCAGTCCCTACGAAATTATGAGAGAGAAGAGAGAGAGAGATTTTTCTCATTTAAATGCAGCAGGCCAATCTCTCATGGTAGATCGGGTTTACATACGAGTACACCAGCATAGCTCTTATCAATACTTTAACTTTCATATAGATTGCAGCCTGTTATCATTTGCTTCTGATGGTAGGTGACAACTCAAAGTCAACTACTAAGGATCATTGTGCATTATCCCCCCATACATTGTCCCAGCCAGCACTTGGAGCAGCCTTAGGCCCCTCGATAAAGTTCTGGTTGCCATGAGGATGGTGCCGACCAGGAAGTGCACCAGGGCCCGGGGGATGAACTTTGTTAGGCTTTGTTTTGACACCAAGCAATCTCAGCACAAATCTGGCCAACTCTCCATATAACATTCCTGAGCGATCAAACAGCTGCAAAAGACATTTTAGTGAAATATCATGTCATATATCCCGAGTATTTTCCACAAATTATTAGGACAGTAGAAATACATTTCTAAAGGACAATGAAATGAAGCACTAGTTACTTAAAACTGTTGGGGTGCAAGGGCAGTTGTTAGTGAAGAGATACCTGAAGCATTGCCGACATGAACATGTGAAATGCCTGGGTATTCTGGTCTATCAACATCGCAACGCGGCCAAAGAAAGTTACAACACCTTGCATCTACATTATTACAATCACAGGAAGTCAAACAATTAGTTATCAAGGCCAAAAGACATACATGATGTCTATAAAGTAAAGACTAATACCCTATGTTACTAGTAGTTTCAATAGCACCAGGTACCAAAGAACAACCCTCTCCTCACACCAGAACCCAAAATAAAATACGTAAAAGAACTCTTAATTTCATTTAAATCTCCTTGAACTTTTTGATAATTCAAAGGGGCCCTCAAGTTCTTAGTCATAGGCATTGACAAACCTACTAACTGCAGGCAAGAAAATCACAAATGTCAAATAAGAGAGAGTACACAATTTATAAAAGCTTAGCCTGGATCTTATTATCAAAAACATTGAGGAATCTAACTAAAAGTTTCTTTTTGGGATAAAGGGGGGTCTAACTAAAAGTATCTCATTACAGAAACCCTGGAGTTGCAAGAAGCCACTGAGACTTCACAAGCCTTGTTAAATTTCAATCCTTCCCTATGTGATTCCACCCCTTTATTTTGGAGGCCTTGCTCCGTTACCCATTCACATGAACCTAATTTTATTCTGTTATCCAATCCAAAAACAAAAATTCAGCAATAAGGCCAATATAGTTTTTACATGAAGTGCAGGTCAAATGAGAGACTTATGCAAATCAAATTCATTTTAGGAGCCCTGAAACAAACTTATAGAACAGATATAGATTATTTGGTACTGTTAGAGCTTACCACGTGCATGAAGGAAACCCAGAAGCCTGGTGGAGAAGATGGAGCACCATAGGGATTATTTGGATCTTGGTCCCCAAAGCCGCCCATGCCCATGCCCCCCATGCCACCCATGCCACCCATGCCCATGCCATAACCCCCCATTGAGCCTCCAAATCCACTATTATACATTCCACCACCGTACATGCCACCACCTGCAAGTCCACCATAACCTCCTCTATACATACTGTTTCCATACAAACCACTTCCGTATGTGCTTCCATAGCCACCACCATAAGAAGAACCAATCATTCCAGTTCCAGTTCCATATCCAGAATTATAATTCATCCCTGTATTATAACCTGCATAAGCAAATAATCAGATCGATACTCTTTATAAAAGGCCTCAGCTCCTCTTACTTCAATTTCAATTACTAACTTCAATTACTAGATCAAAACCTTCAACAATCAAGAAAGTCCTCATCAGTGTAAGGGAAACGAAAAAGAGTATGTCCATAACAACATTAAGATTTGGCTAGGTAAACACACAAATGCTATTTATACTTCCAGGAATACAAAGTATAAAGAAGAGTAGGAATTGGGTTGCATATGCATAGACATCTTATTGCAAATGAACAAAGTCAAGTAGGCACTTCATCCCCGAGAATAGATACGTAAGATAGAAAGTAATACCGACTAGCAGAATGGATGCCAGTTCCATGGAATATTCAATCAGAGGTTAAGGCAATTTAACAGGATCCATGACTAAGATGAACACCAAAAAAAGGATAAGTGGGGTGGGGCTGTTTGAGTTCAGACTTCGATACCTTATAATGCTTTTTTTAAACAAGGCAATCGTATAATGCATGCAATAGAATTACACATTAAGTCAAATCAGAATATACAAAGGAAGAACTTGCCTAGTTAATGATGGCGTGCGTAATAATAAATCACATATTGCATTATGATAATGAAAACTCACATGCATGCTTCTAAAGCCGAGATCATAATACACATCACTAATAAACAGTCTTTGATGCAAGGGGGCCAGCATTTGTGATATCAAGAGTGGACCTTAAGGATGTAAAGTACACTACAAAAACCATAACACAGCTGCCCTAGCATGAAAGACATCAATAGTGTCTTTGAGGATTAAAAATGACATGTTTGAAATCATAGATTTCTGGATCGTCAACCCTCTAACTGGAAACACAAAACACACACATAGAAGAGCGAGAGGGAGAATGAACTAATAAACATCTTATACCTCCGCTACCGTAAGTTTGCTGTTGCTCCCAAGGTCGAGGAGGTACAGGCCTTGCAAGTGTGGTATTATTAACAGCTGTATTCCGATTAGCAGTTGAAACAATCTCACCAGGCCTGGCTGTTCCGGATGCCTCTACTACGTCACTCGTGTTACCAGAAGAGGGGGGCTTAAAAGGTGTAGGGCCCGAAGATGACCCAGCTCGTTCCCAAGGTTTCGGAGGTGGGCTATTACCTGCTGTGGGAAACAACTATTAACTTAATAATACTCGAAAGTAAAAAGAGGAAAAATGAGTTAGTCGAGAGTAGATTGCTTCCATGGATTCTAATCAAATAAAACAAAAGTACTTACTAGGAATGCCTAAAATTTCTTTAAACCTTACTCTTATAATAAATAGACAAATCTACTGTGAGAAACCAGTAACATGTTAGATAGCCTTTTAAATGTGGCAATCTATTTAAACTGACCAAAATAAATACATAGCAACTACTATTGTAACAAACTAAGACCAAACTTTAGAAAAATATGAAATTCCGTGTATGCTTTCTCCCTAGTTATTAATTCTATAAAGAAGTGTGTTTTAAGATCACAAAGTATCAACTGCTAGAAGTAGCGCATGTGTAATGAATTGCTTTAATTTAGTTTTACTACTTCTAATGATTAATGATCAAATTGTAGGGTACACAATTATCTTATCACATGCAAAAATATGACCCTGTAAATACATTTTAAATGGCTAACGA